ATATATATATATATATATTAAAAGCTACAACAATAAAAAATTCTTATCGACTTTTATGTGTGGGGTTTAAAAATAATTTAATGGATTCTTCATTTGGATTGTTATTTTTTCAAGCAATTTAGAGAAATATCACTTATCACATTAACTGCATATTATTTAATATATTTTGCTGTGTAAATACTTCGGTTCATGTTCCTTTTCTATATTTTATTTATTTTGTTAAAATCATTACATACTTCAGTGATCAAACTGATAAGATTTTCGCAAAGATTTCGGAAGATCCAGGTTCGAATCTCAGGTGAGGTGATATTTTTCTTAATAAGTTATTTTCAATGATTAATAAGTTATTTAAAAATGCTTACTAATATTAAAATTCCTTATTAATTTAATTTACAATATTATGTATTCTAGCAGTTTAGAACTATGTTTCAAGATGAATAGGTAATCGGTATCAGTTTGCTCTAACTGGAAATTATAAAAATTTATACAAAATTATTATTAAGCACTAAGCTCTTCGCCTTGATCGAAAATGAATCTCTCCTTCATTTATAATTTGGCAAGGATAATTTTGCTAGTCTCTAAAAAATTAACTAGATACAGATCTGAAAATAATTTTGTTGTATTGTTAAAATAATTATGTAGAAAACTCAAACATGATAAACTGCAAAAAAGTTTGACATTCTAATAAAAAGTTCAAACGTCCTACATAATTCAACAAAATTTATTTTTAGATTTATTTATAGATTTTATAATTTATTTATAGATTTGTATCTATAGCTAATTAGATACTCTCTCAGCAAACCATTCTTTCCGTGTAATTTGCATGACCAATTTTCATTAAATAATTTATTCACGACGTAAAACTTTTAAATGTAGGTGATATTACTGCGAGATACATCATTATGAGATACATCGAATGAGATATTGATGCAGGAAAATGAGCAAGATTTACGTGGCCTTTGACATTCGATATAATAAATTGGGGCCTCCAAGGTGCATACCCTGCACCTAACACCAACGGACGTTACGAAAATACACGCCAGGGGATGACGTTGTATTAACGGGTGCATTAATCATCGCCGAGTGACTTATCTAAGAGCGATACACTTTCGTGGATTCTATTGGCTGGTATCTCTAAGCGCCGAAGAGCGCAACGGGCATCTCGTACTTCGTATCAGATTAGAAAGTTATTATACGTGCGCGATGAACCACTAAACTAACCACATATTGCTACACGGAACTCCGTATTGGCCGTACAGAGCGATCTGCTGTGACCTGGAATTCCATTATCGAATTCTGGATTGGTACCCAGTCGACTCCCTGAGTACTATCTATCTGCCCAGGAACGGCATCCTTTATGGTCTTTCATTATTTCCTAGTAATCCCATAGCCGTCGAAATTGTCAATGCAATTCTAATTTATACGAAACCGATTAATGAGTGTTTTCAATACGTGTATCTCAGCAAAGTTCTACTGAATGGTAATTAATTAAAATATATATGTATCGCAATTAATTCTTTAAAAATCTAATTATCCAAGAAATTATTTTCATGATTCATTACTATACTTTATAAAGCAATCGGATAGAATAAGATATTTTGGTAAAGCAAGTAATTAATAAGAAAACAAAAATTTAAAGGAGAAAAATTCGTTTTTTTTTTAATTCTTTTCTTTAATTTCGTTTATTTCCTTAGAGTTATTGTGCTATCCTCTCAGAAACAATAAGTAGCACAAATCCTTTCTTAACGCATTGTTTCTGCCAACTGCTTCACAAAACGAATAATCGATGAAATTTCAGAGTTAACCTTTACTAATTATCTGACAGTGTCTAAGATTTCAAGTTACGGAGAGCAGACCGGCTTTCGCATACCAAATAGATGATTTGGCTCGACTTCTCCTTTTGTTTGTCGACCGTAGTCCGTTAAACCATCGGCATGCCGATCAGCATTTTTGCCAATTGGCATAGATCGATCGACGTGTTCACTTATATGGCAATGAGTTTGCCAATCGAATGGATGATTAAAGGAAGGGAAAGAAAAAGAGAGAAAACAAGAGAGAAAGATAAATTTATTTTTTACTTTTAATTCTGTTCTAAAATAAGCCTTCTATAAGAACATAAAAGTATAAGCAAAGAAAAAAAAAGTACAATAGATAAAAACATATATAAAGTTGAAAAAAGTAAAGCGGCAATAATAATATATGAAGAATAAAAAAGAAAGCGTAAAGAAAGAATAAAAAAGAAAAATACATATAGTTATACAAGATTATATAATAATGTAATAATAAAGTATTAAAAAAAAAAATAATAAACTACAACAAAGCGGAAAAAAACAAAGGATAGCAACGAGCATGAAAGCAAAGAGAGAGAGAGAGAGAGAGAGAGAGAGAGATGTTGTCTTAAGAAAAAAAGAGATCTTTGTGTTTAGCATGGGGATTTCGTTAAATCTCACATAAAAGTAATTTCTCAATTCGTGTCAAATTGAACTTTTCAACAATATTATTATGTAGCATGAATTTATATATGCTAAGTGAGATAACGCAGCATCGATTTCATAGAACTGCGTTTGCGCAAAAAGTTCAAGTGTGAGCGACTGGTGGGCGATATTTTGTGAATATTTTGCGTGGGTGTACGAAAGGATCGAAAGTTGATTCCTTCCACGTAATTCAACTTTTACCGTAGTTGAATTTAATTTAGACTCCATTTCGCAACATCAATTAGTTTCAATAGTAATTCAATTGTCTCTTTATCTCCTTTTGCAGAATCCAAAAAGAACTAGCGAAACAATTGGACTATAGTTAAGTTTAATGGATATTGGCGATATTGACGCTAAATTAAACGACGAAACGTGTCTTAAAAGTCCCATCGATTAAGGTTGATTGAGGTTTATTGTCTTTTCTACTTTTATTTTTAGAAGAGAACAGAGAATCGGTTAATCACGTCTTTGAACTGTTCCAATGTATTCCAATGGATATACTTTTATGACGCAAAAGCCAATTAATTATATGTATAAACACAAGTGTACCTTTATAAAAATAATTTAATTTGTTTCTTTATTATTGAAAACAGGGCAAACAATAAAGAGAATCAGACATTTAATTGTTACAGTTTTCAGCTGAACGCAAAAATGCTCAACTTTTCTAACGCCCTAAAGAGGAAGTGATTAAATCAATGTTAACTTCAACATGCATAGGAACGAGAGAGAATTCAGAGAAATGCGATAGCGTTCCGACATGAAAGCCAATCGTTGTGCTAGTCTCGCCAACGAAATCAAACGCCTCTCATTATGCATGCCACCCGCCCATTTGCGCCACTTGGGATACATACATACATATAAAGCCCGCAGGGCGAATATATTCATAAAGTATCGAAGAACGCAAAATTCTCGAACGCTCAACTAGTTGAGAGACGTTCCTTGAACTCGTTTTCTCGAACGTCACGTTCTGTTGTCAGTCTATTCAAAGGCAATTTCGCAGCCACCAAATGCTCCTTGAGATTCTTTCTTATTCCGGAAACGAGAGTCTCGCCCATTTTCAATGTTCTTCTACTTTCCTCACCGCAGAATGCTTTGCAATTTTAATAACAGATCCTATGACTAATCAACTTCTTTTTGTCAATCAAAATTCTTGAAGAAGGTCAGCTAAAAGTTATCATAATTTTTTTTTTACTTGTGATATATTTCTTCATTTTCAAATGTCACTGCATTTATGTCTCTTATTCTCATTAAAAATTCATTAGTACAATTAAGTGAATATCATATATATTTTCCTTCATTCTTTATCTCTCGCAAATAAATATTTTGTTTTGTATCAAAAATAAAAATACTAATATACTAAAAATATTTTGAATGTCGAAAAATGTTTTGTGTTTTCAAAAAAATACGGATATTTTTCTATTATTTCAAATATGACCAATTAAAATTCATCGAGCATATCTCTTTATTTCCTTACAATGTGATGTATATATGAATACGCAAGAATACGAATATATATGAATATCGAAGAATAGTATAAATACATAAATATCGACATACGACAAACGCACAAGCATAGCGACTGATAATAAAACAATTATAAAGAATAAAAAATGGTAAAAGAACGAAGACAGCGAATAACTGCCTGACGTTTAAAGATATATCAAGTGTAAATATAGCCTGTGCAAAAGACCGGAATTAAAAATGTATAGATACTCCCGTATAAAAATAAACATACATATATGAAACAATTCAATAAGATTAATATTTATATTTAACAATATAATTTTGTAGTTAAAAATTTTCTCATTTTATCTTGATTATTTTTTAAAACATACTTCTTATACACAGAAATCTATAAATAATTTTTTCATTTTGCTAAAAAATACTTGTAATACAATTTTAACGTTTCAGCATCTTGAATAATAAAGAAGTAGTAGTACATTTAAAATTTTGTGAAAAATCAATTTTCAAGCTCGATTCGCTATTTAACGATTCGTTTACACGGTCCATGTTTACAGAAACCTTTTTCTTTCTAACGCCATGCTTTATGCTTTTATACAATCGTCTGTCAAAGTATCGACCTTTCCCGGCTGGAGAACAGTCTGTAGGTACGAGGTATTCCATCGATCGACGTCCTGCAATCGAATGCGTCCGCGTTTTACACGCGCGAATGTGCATAGGATAAAGTGCGACGCAACTGCGGCGCTAAACAATAGATTCATCCACGTCGCCACGTTGCGTCGCTTAAATGCACGGCAAATGACACGTCGCGCTGCCGTCGCTTCGGAATTTTACCCGACATTCGCTCCACGATAATATTTAATTTCTTCACGTCAACCTCTTTCGCGTACGGACGAATCATATGAAAATGTTATTTCACACG